ATTTGCTCTATAGCGAAATAATTTTGACTTACTTCGCTTCTAATATCACGCTCCATTGACAATTTCTTGAGATAGAAGCAATTTGCGAACAAAAGTTGCACAAAATAATAGTCAAGGCATTCCTTGTGGCTGTTCGTTAGATATATAGATATAGCAAGACGACGACGACGACATTAACTACAGTAGTTGTAAGACAGAAGTAAGAAAGGCAAAGCGACCACTTTACAGATGGGCGAAAAATTTTACCTTCCCTGTGCTTCACAAATGAAACATTTAAGTTGAAATATAGCAAATTTGACACATTACTCAAAATAAGGCAACCACACCCACTGACATCGATGCCAACACTAACAATAAACACAATAGCAATGCCAATTTAAGCGCCAACTCAGCAACATCACCAACAACGCCAACAACAACATCACCAACCACAACAACAACAGTAACTACGCCAACAACAACAAAATGAAAAGACTGACAATTGTCGAAATTGCTACTGACAGTTTTCTTCACACCAGGAAGGCGACTTAACGTAAGAAAATGGAAAATGAAATAAAAATAAAAGAAAAATAAAAATAAAAGAAAAATGAAAATGAAAATGAAAAAATGAAGCAAATTTTCGAGTTTGTTGTCATCATTTGCTTGTTTAGTTTCTTCATTCTTTGTGGAGAAATGGTTGGCTTGTCGGTAGTTAGGACGGACGGATCCATTGAGCAGCAGAACGGACGTTAGCTCAGTTAACGACGTATATTTGAGTATCTGGCGTTGACAAATGTTTTTTAATGAACGTCTTCATTTAGTGTTGCTTTCATCTTTCCATAGGAGTACCGAATACGTCTTAAGGTGGTCGGTATTCTGTTAGGTTTTCCTTTAAACGCCCATTTTTTCGCACTTTCATACTTTGCCAGTTTATTAGAGCATCTATATGGGTTTCTGTATTTGTGTGCGTATATGAGGGTTACTTTCACTTACTGTTAATTTGGTTTCTTGCTTTCTTTCCATATTTTCTTTTATTGCTAGTGTATATGTTTCGACTGCTTTTGGGTTTGTGCTTATTAAGTTAATTGGGTTTTTGAGGTTAACACTAAATTGTCTGTGATTAATTGCAAGAATTTGACAAAGGCAATTTTCTATTATTCTGTCTTCTTCCTTTAGGCAACCTTTTATCTAAAATGCTTTTCTTTTCTGCTTAAGTAGGAAGTTAACATTTGTGTTTAAGTTAAAAAATAAAGAAGCTGCTTTGTTCGACTAATTTTAAGATTTGCTACTTAATGAACTTAACTATTTGAAAAGAACAACATTATCATCAGTTATATATCGAAATTGTCCTAAGTTTTTAGTCGAGGAATACAAGCTAATTTAATTCAGTTATTACTATATAAATTTTTTAGAATTACCAAGACTAAATAAAGAGAGAATATGGTTTAGATTTTCAAACGAAAATGGAACAAAAAAAACAATAAATATTGGTTGAAATTGATTTCAAGTTTGACTGAACAGATTAGCCAAAAAAAGTCCTACGATAGAATTAGACCCAGTCCTTTTGAAAGTAGCTGGCAAATGAAACTTTAATAGATGAAAACCAGTTTCGATTCTAAAATTCAAATAATTTATATATATATATATATGGTTTTCTCTGCCTAATTGAAACATGAAGCCTCTGTTATCAATTTAATATCGGTTAAATAAATACAGTGTTAGATCGGCAGATATCCTTTCATTTTCCATAACTTAAGAATATTCGGTATTAAAAAAAAATGTGAAGATCACAAAATTGCGAAGAGTACAAACAAGATTTGTTATTAATTTTATGTAATTTGTATGTACTTATGAAAATGTCTTTCTAGATAGAGAGTATAAATTATCCATTAACAATTTAATATCGGTTGGCTTGTCACACTGGCAGGTAGCAAATGTTCTTCCACTTTCTATAATAAAAAGTAATTCGTTACTACATATATCACGAAAAATGTAAAGTCATATATGAAAGTATATGATTCTGCGTGGTTATAGATATGTGATTCTGATTCTGAAGCATAGAACCTCTGCTATTAATTTAAGTCAAACTGCCGTTTGAGATCTGGCTACATCGGTCGTGTAGGCAGAATTATTATAAGTGTGCCGGATATACTAAAAATATTTTCTATTGACCAGCTTTTACAGTTGATCGGACTATAGCTCAGAAGGTAGAGGGTCTATCCACTAATCCTCTGAAAAAGTCACTCTGTAACGATATCATTATCCGAATTACTGACATTCTTCAGTAAACCTTTCATTATTTTCCTCCAACTTATGTTCATTGCATCGAAGAGCACATAACATTCCTCCTCCAAATTGGATAATGTTGTCATTTCATAAGTAATACACATTCTGCAGTTAGGGTTTCACTGTACTCCTCCAAGTCATGACGGATGCACGGAAATACATAGAAAATCAATATAACTATTTAATTTTCTGGGAGTACTTCTACACTGCTTGATTTGTGTTCCTAAATTTCTTCAATTTAACCTGTCCATGCTAATAGATCGTAATTGGATATTCTTTGGTCAAACTAGTTGTGCAGGATTCTTGGTAGACATTTTTTTTTGAAAGCCTGAATTTTGTATTGGATTTATAATTATAACTCTTGATTTTAAAAATATGAAATATCAAACGAGTATCATGAAGCACTTTTATACATTCTGACATCTTGGAGAAAAGGAGTGCATGGTTTAGTGGTGTTAAATCAAATTAAATATATTATACAGAACAATATTGTGGTGAAACTCTAACAGCGATTATTGG